TCAGTACCTCACACATCTTACTGACCAGGATCTGCGTAAGCAGACAGTGCATGCACAGAAGTAAGACTCCAGAAGGAACACTCTGAAGAGGGCCTCCATCCAGGACCCAGATGTAAGTAGGGCATCTGCATTTAATTGGATTTCTAATGGTAGGAACATATATGCACAAAATCTCTTCCTTCAACTGCCACTACCTAGCAAAAAAAAGAGGCAGGGCCTTGACACCTAAACAGAATCCAAAGACAAGAAGAGGCAAGAATCAGGAGAAGAAGGAGTAGATGAAAATGTTTTGCTATTTTTCTACCCATCCTTAGGTTTCTGTACAGTATATCCCGTAACTATGCCATAATAACTCCCTGCCACATTGTCATGCAGCAATATGAACTCAAAACATTTTTTATATTGGTGCTTGCGTTGCCTGCACACCAGAAATACTGATACAGGACTGACTATTCTTGCTCCAGTCCTCTGGGTGGACCTGACACCTCCTAGTTTCTGGTTTAACTGGCAAGAACTTTACGTACCTTCTACCATCTGGACAGTTCCCAGAACATAAAACCAAAAATGGAATGGAACACACTGGTGGTTGAAATTGTAATACACTTCTGCAATCCTGATCCAGAAATTAAAACCACAGAACACATGACCACCCTTCACTCAAGAGAGTGATGACTGGCCTGGTTATAGAATCAGGTCATTTATCCTGTAACCAACTTTGTCATGGTGTTTTGGGGGAGGGGGATTGGTATGTGCTAGTCTCATCATCACTTAGAAAGTATTTATTAAATCATGCCCAAATTTTATAGATCACATCTTCACAGAAAATAAACACATCAGTTAGATGACAGAGGATTATGCACTCATTCTGTCAGCAAGACATTTTCACAGGATTTAAAGCAGAGGAGGTATATTCAAATGACTGGAAATTTACTGATGCATGTGCAATGCCTCTGAGGGCTTCTGTTTCTCCTGAACCTCCATTTTGGAGCATTCTAAACATTGGCAATAGTTACACAGCTGCTTCCTTTCGATAAAAGGTTGAAGCATATTGAGCCAATTAAAAGCTATGCAAATGTCTCACACATAACTTCCAGGAATTTGTTCTGCAAGATGAATTTTTATTGCTACAAAAAGTATTTATAAAATTATTTAGTTAAGTATTTCCTTATTGAAAATAAGCACAGGACTACTGAAAAGTGTAATATTATCATAAATTGTGAAAGCAGGAAAGCCTTAAAATTTATGCTGTTATTATTATTAACATTATAGAAATCTATGTGTCCTGCTGTCCACGGTGCACATGTACATCCCCTATAGTCCTTCTGAAGTCATCAAAATACCCAGGGCTACACCATGCATTTTACAATAGTTTAATTAGCAGATATCTTCTGTTTTCCAGTAGTTCATTGCTTAGGTGTCAGACAGTTAAGTATCAAGTCCAAAACAAGACTTAACAATAACCATCTTTCCAGAGAAACTCCAGTGAATAAGGCCTCTTACTCAATCTTCTTTGGAGGAGAACCAAAGTTTAAGGTTCCACCAACTAAATTTTGAAATAGTCTGGACTAAAGGAATAGAAAGTGTTACTCAATCCTCTGGTACCTCTCTGATTTTTCTTTGGAATATTCATCAAATAACAGCCACTTAATCCATTTCAAATCCATTTGTGTCTTTTAATGCGAAAAAACCACATCCTGTTGTTGCCACACACCCACACGATGTTTCTTTTTAGCAAGTAGACAAAAGGGGCCAAGCCTCTCCTAAATTAACTGCGCCCTAGAGAAGACTCTCCATACAGCAGCTCAGACTCTGGACTCAGCGCTGCTCCATCCTACCATGTCTCCCAGTGACCTCCTGCTCCATCCTTCATCTTCTGTGGCTACCTTAGCCTAAGCAGACCGGAACAACAAATGAGGGTGAGGGAGTGAAGAAAGTGATATTGCAGTCTTCAGACACAGTAACTCTTAAAACGTGCTTGTTTTAATCCACATGATTTAGTCACATAGTTCTAGAGAATATTTATAAGCTTCCTGGTTTGTCCATCTGCATTTAATACACCCTCCTCTACCCACCCCTCTCTCTGCCCTTTTTAAAAACAAAAACAAGTGTTAAAGAACCAATTAGAAAAAGGTTCAGAACAAAGGGCAGATGCAAATACAACAATGTAAGTAAAATGTAACAAGCTAAACACAATAAGAAACGCAAGTCATGTACAGCCATGCTCCTCCCTGTTACAGAGAAGTTCACTCRGAAACAACAAAATGGTATTTCAGTTTGACAGTACTTTGATCATGAAATCTTAAAAATGAAGACTGAAAGATATGCAGTCTATCACAACACCTAAAGTKCTAGATGAAGTATAATCATAATTAAAGGGTAACAAATACTGTAGGCATGAAAACAAAAGTGTTTGACAAATGATGTAAGTCACAAATAATTGTTACTGCAACACTATATTTTCTATATCACAACTAAATATTACTTTAACTACACAAAAATACCTAAAAAAACCTTCATGTCCTACCACTGTACCAGAATTGAAAACTTTTTAAATAGTAATAAAAAGAATGAAATGCTGTTTCCAGAATACTATATTACTAATTAGGAAAAGAAAAAAGTAACAGGAAAGGTTGTAGCACAACAGCTGGGCTGCAGCAAACACCCTGGGGGAAAAAAAAACCTAGCAACAACATTTCCTGAAATACACAATTTGTAGTGAAAGTGGAAAAGTGAGAACTCAGATCCTCTACTTCGTCATTTTGACTGGTCCTACAGTAGGGAACCTAAATGAAGCACAATTATATTTCTGTGTGTAACACACCAAGACTGACTATAGACTAAGTTCCTGTAAGCTTTAACAAAGAGCCTGTCAGTGCTTTCTGACACATACAAGCAACTTTTGAAAGAGACTGATTATTACCTTATAGTATCATCAATTAACTCACTTTCACATAAAAAGTCTACATTGCAGTTAAGAGTTTTTGTACAGATTTAGCCCAGCCTATAAAGGCAGACACCTAAAGATAGTCAGATGGCAAACTTTTGCAGACTTTTCAAAGTAAATGTCACATAAAGTGTATTTGACACAGTGATAATAYTGCAATCGAGCAGATGCATGTGTGTGCAACTCTTGTTTGTTGGAGCAGCACAACTACCACCTTCATAAGACATATTTGGTGTATAGTTAAAAATRTGATTTAACTACCCTTTTTATAAAAAAAATACTTTTATTCTCTCAGAGGCAGTTGGCAATCTTTGCACCCTTCAACAGGTACACAGTACAATAGTTACAGCTCTGTTTGTCTACAAGTTTCCCCATCAAGCAGAGGTAAATCCAGTTCCCTTTTACAGATGCAGTCAACCAGAGCAGACAAGTTTGCTTAGATAAAACATGCCACGGTAAATAATGATATACGATCTCCACTGACAGTGATCCTGTTTGCTCACTAGAAGAAAGCTAGGACTGACTATGTGCAGGGAACGATTTACATTCATGGGACAGAACACATTACATCCTCTCCAGGTCCTGAAAATGTGCTTCTGAAGCAGGAGAAGCCGGTTTGCGCTATCGGTCTTAGAAACCATTGAAACAGCTGCTCTACAAAGTGTTAATTTTCACTTCTAAATACCACCAAAAATTACAAAGTATAGGCAGCAGCACATTAAGGAAAACAGAAAAACTAGAGATAAAAAAAAAAAAAAAAAAAAAAAAAAAAAAAAAAAAAAAAAAAAAAAAAAAAAAAAAAAAAAAAAAAAAAAAAAAAAAAACCAAAAAAAACAAAGGGAGAGAGGAGAAACCTGGAACTGTGGGTGAAAAGAGAGCCTAACAGCTGTGATTAGTGAGCTGTGTATTTATACATCTTTCGACATGATACAAAGCACTGGGTGAATTTCAGACTGCCTCGGATGGAAAAGACTGTTGAAAAAAACTTGTTGACAATGTTGTTAAAATAGAAAACTAATATTTGATAGAAAAAAAACCACAGCCTGTTAGAAATGTCAAATATAGGATTATAAAGCAATACACAGAGATTCTGGACATGAATTTCGGTGCATAATCCAACCATCTGTCGACCAGTTGTGTAGCAAAATCAAGATAACGTGGAAATCTCCAAAAGGACAGCCAAATTCTTTTCCTTCAGCTACTGCATTTCCCTGCTTATGAACGTGCCCGCGGTAATCGCACTCTGCCTGCAGATTAACCTAGAGGAGATGACACCCGCCACCGGCAAAAGAGAGATTGCAATGGCAATCTTGCCAGATAGGGACGATAAACAGGGCGCTCAGCTCCCGGTGAAGCAGGCTGCAGAGGCTGAAGCAGACTTCGCCGCGCCGGTGCAGCCGCGCCGGGAGCGGACCCTTCGCCAAGGGCGGCGCGGGGTCCGGAGCCGCCGAGCCCTCCCCGGTGGGGAGATGCGAGCGGGGCTGCTGCTGCGGCGAGGACGGGGCTGCACGGCGCAGCCGGAAAGTTAAACCCGCTGGAGGGGGAGCGGGGTCGTTCGTGACTCCACTCCCACCGTCGGGATGTCGGCGCGGCGCAGCCCGGAATTGGGCAGCGCTGCGGTCCTGCAGCTCCCCAAAAACCCTTCCTCGCCCAGCGGGGACCTTTCAGCAGAGACTCCCCCCGGGAAAAATAAAACTCCGAGGGGTGCGCCGAGGTGGGAAGTGCCCGAGCAGTGCCGGCTCGCAGTCGTGAGGAGCGCGGGCGGTCCCGGGGCTCACGGCACCCGGCACAAGGGGCTCCAGCCGCGCCCATCGTCCCGTTCCGGGCCGCCGGGCAGCGCCGTGATGCTCAGCCGCCCGCGCAGGGGCACGACCGAGAGCTGCCCCGTGGCCAGCCTGGACACCAGTTGCTCGACCCGCGGTGAACAAGCGGTAAAAGGAGCCTGGGGGAGGCAGCGGAGCCCCGGCGGGGAGCCGGGCCCCGACCTGCGGGCGGTGGGGCGCTTGCCCCATACGGGGCAGACGGGGCGTCCGCCCGCGCAGCCCTGCGTTCTCACCTCCTTAAGTTCCTTGGCGACATCTTTTAGGTCCCCCAGGACTAATTCCAAATCGTCCACGATGATCTTGATCTGCTCCTTCACCTTGGCTTTGGAGGCTGCCGGCGGCCCCTCGGACGGCGACGAGGAGGAGGATACGGTCCCCTTGGACTGGGCGGACATCCTTCGGGGCAGCCCGGCGCGGCCAGCGGGGCACGCAGGTCAGGCGAGCGCGGCGGCCGCCGGCCGCCCGGCCCCGTCCCTCCGGCTCCCGGAGCTACCGCAGC